CAGAGCACGAGTAGGGGAGGGGCAGAGAGAGGGGGAGACAGAACCTGAAGCAGGCTCCAGGCTCCAAGTTGTCAGCACAGAGCCTGACATGGGGCTCGAACCCACGAATGGTGAGATCATGACCTGAGCTGAAGTCAGACGCTTAACTGACTGAGCCACCCCGGCGCCCCATAGTTATCTAAAATTTTAAGGAGATTGGTGTTAGGATTTTGTAGTAACAAATTACTTGGGTATTTACTTCTGTAAGAAAGCTTTGGAGGAGCTGTCTGTAGTTTTTGCTACAGTTCTTTAAGGCAGAATAAAGAGTACATGCTAACAATGTAACTTGTAAAAGTTCTTCATAAATTTGCAGAATGCCTTCTGATTTACTCAAAGTACTTCTGTGAGGTATTGGTTGCTCTTATCCCCATTTACAAATCCGAAATTTAAGATGGCAAAGAAATAATTATAAGCATGGCCATAAGCTGGAGCTGAGGTTTTTCTGGAATATGAGTATGTCTTAGGAATGCTTGAATACTTTATAGCCTATTTTAATAATTGGATGTTTAAAAAAATGTGTTTATACAGATGCTTGCATTGGGCAATCAGGTTGGCAAACTTTATGTTTGGGATTTAGAAGTAGAAGATCCTCATAAAGCCAAGTAAGTATTCAGAAATTTTATTGATAATTACTGCCTTTTTCTTAAATGTTATGTCAGTATAGAGGAAGTAATTGATACTTAAGGTACCATCCTGAAATCATTTTTAACATTTAAATGGCTCAGTTATTTTAAAGCATTTATCTTTTATCATAGTGACTGGTTATAAGTATCCTGGTGACAAGTTACTTTTTTAATTTAAAATGTACCCAAATTTTATGAAAATTGAGGTTGAGCTCTTAGTGATGTTTTCAATGCGTTCTATAGGACTTGGAACATCTATTTGTTTTCTAATTTACTGGCTTAAGTTAGATACTGACAACATATTCTGTGAATGGCATTTAACCTGTTGTCTTGTTTTCCCCTAGATGTACAACACTGACTCATCATAAATGTGGTGCTGCTATTCGACAAACCAGTTTTAGCAGGGATAGCAGTATTCTTATAGCTGTTTGTGATGATGCCAGTATTTGGCGCTGGGACCGACTTCGATAAAATACTTTTTCCTAATCAAAATTAGAGCGTGTTTTCTGTGTATAATAGATTAATGTATCTTGCTAGTAAGGGCACATAGAGCATTTAGAGTTGTCTTTCAGCATTCAATCAGGCTGAGCTGAATGTAGTGATGTTTACATTGTTTACATTCTTTGTACTGTCTCCTGCTCAGACTCTACTGCTTTTAATAAAAATTTATTTTTGTAAAGTTGTGTGTTAGTTTATTTTCATTGTGATAAAGAGAAATGTTGAAAGTAATAAAAGTATGCCCTTTTTTGTAGTGATCATTTTTGTAGTTCTTTTACCTGAAGAAAGCTATTATAGGGGCACCTGGGTGGCTCAGTTGGTTAAGCATCCAACTTCGGCTCAGGTCATGATCTCACAGTTTGTGAGTTCGAGCCCCGCGTCAGGCTCTGTGCTGACAGCTCAGAGCCTGGAGCCTGCTTCAGATTCTGTGTCTCCCTCTCTCTCTGCCCCTCCCCACTCATGCTCTGTCTCTCTGTCTTAAAAATAAATAAAACATTAAAAAAACAAAAAAAAGAAAGCTATATAATGTAGTGATTAAGTGTAAGTTCTAGAACTAAACTGAATTTTAAGTTTTAACTGTGCAACTATAAGCTGGGCTAAGTAACTTAACATCTACCTCAGTTTCCTCTTGTGTGAAACAGGGATAAGATACTCATAGAGTTATTAAGGATCAAATGATTAGACACATGGGAAGCAGCCAGAATAGTACTTGATATACATTAAACCCTAAATTACATTGTTTTTACTGGAAATTGTATTTCCTATGTCTTCATATTTCTTCTGTAATAATATCATAGTGATTAAAATTTAGAGTTGGCACATATGATTTAATTAAGCTATCTGCACTATTAAAAAATATACTGCTGTTTGGTTTGCAGCTAGACCATAAGTAATCTGAGTGGATATTTTGCCATTAGAGCAAGTGAGAAGAGGACATAGAAGTTTGAATGCAGGGGGTTGAAAAATGAAAGAAATGGAGTATGTACAGTGTTACTATCTGCTTTTCTAGAAAGGTATTGCTTAAGAGAAATAGATTGAGGGAATCAGACTTGAGAGTAGTTGATTGTTTTGTTCCAAACATAAGGTGCTTTGTATACACTTATGAACAAGAAGAAATAACAAGAATGAGAAAATCCCCCAGTTAGGACCAACATGACGTGGAGGAATTAACCTGAAGCAGAGGGAATGAAGAAAACCTGAGTAATCATAAGGTAGGAAGTAAAATGAGGGGACCCAGCATAAAGTACAAAACTGAATTTTGTCAAATTTTGAGATGATGAGCCTTGTTTTTTTATAAAAACCCTGCATCTCCACGAATATACCTGTATTTAATACCTTTTTGGATGTGCTCATTGCTTCTGTTTTGTTTTTTTTTTTTTCTATTGCTATAAACAGCATTTTGGCTAATAGCTCAGAACACAATTATTTCCATGCTCATCTGTCAGAATTAATGAAAGGGTATTTCTATTAATGTACCAAATTAACTTGCTCCAACTATATATGTTGATACCCATTTCACTTGTTATTAGTTCCTATGTGTATCTCTATGGATCAGCAGTTGGTAAACTTTTTTGTAAACAGCTAGGGAGTAAATTTTTTAGGCTTTGTGGCCCATACAGTCTCTGTCACATTCACTTAACTCTGTTGCTATAGTGTGAAAGCAACTATACACAATCTGTAGACAAATGGGCCTGGCTGTGTTCCAATGAAATTAATAAAAACAGGCAGTAGGCCATATTCAGTTCCCAGACCTATAGTTTACCTGCCCTTGCTGTGGATACTGTTAAAACTAAATCTTGAGGCTCCTGAGATTGCTGAAAATTTAGGTCAGGTAGCTCGCAAAGATCACCAAATAGGCAATGAAACAAGTGCTATGAGTGATAATTGGAACAGTAACCTGTAACCTAGACCACTAAAGACTTTAGATAACTGGAATCAGAAAATGTAAAAGCCACATTTAAAATTGCATCTCTTTCCGTGTACTTGACCCTTGACTTGCTTTCTTATTCAACATTTCAATGATCTAGCGTACAACGTAACTTACTTTGGTTACATTTCTCCTCCCACTGGGATGTAGGCTTTATGAATGAGGGTAGATTTGTTTTATTTTGCTGGTACAATCCCAGCACAAAGAACAGTGCGTTGCACAAAGGTGCTCAATAAATATTTGTGGAAAAGAATGAAAAGATGCAAACACAAAAATGAGCAAGCAGTAAAAGACTGCCAAGACTGACCATGAAAAAGTATTTTCATTTCTACCATAATACCCAAGAGTGTCATGTGGACAGGGAGAGAGATGATGGTTCTGGCATTTCCAGAATGTCTCCCATTTCTGTTGCAATCCTAGCCACTAATGTGCCAGTCTGCTTCAGTTGCCACCAAGCCAGAACTTTGCCCCAAACTAGTATGTCCTGAGAAAAATCCCCCCTAATTGATTTCAAGCTGGATGAGGGACTGATACCATATCCCTATTGTAGTCTTCTGTGGTGAGGCAAGGAGCTCACCAGGACAGCAGATTCTTTCAAGCCTCTCTGTACCACAACGTGAAGGCCTTGTGTAGTTTTGTTTCCTGAATAATGGGAACCAGGAATTGGCATCCATCTGGGTCTACCCAGAGCCTGATGCTTGATCTAAATTCTTTTCCAGTTATTCACTGAGTATTCATTCTAGTGCTGTAACGAGCCACAAATTTCTTCATGTAACTTCACATCATGGAACCTATTTTCTTTCTGGATTACAAAATGCGTTTTGGACAGCGAGGACACTTGAAAGTGCACACTTAGCTCACCTGGATCTCTAGCTGAAAAGTGGGGAATAAATTCTGTTCAGATGTGTTAACATGGAGGTATTAAGCACTGTAACATTGTCCATTTAGGCCAAGATCATGTTCATTGCCTCCAAAGGAACCAAAGTCATGATACTTTCCAGAGTGGGTAAAACAATTTTTGTGTATGGATTTCAGAAAGAAGTCTCCTGGACTCTTGTGCTTCAGTGGACCCCACAGCATTTTGGGAAAGAAATATTTGGGAAATAATTCTCTTTACGTGGGTAATACAGGATAATTCCAGAGAAACAGGACACTTTTGGTCACTTGAGGGCCTGTTGCAAAATGAAATTGCAAGCCTCTTGTTTAAAAAGCAGGAAAAAGGCACCAATAAAGTACTAAAAATGCAAAAGCTTTTTCCTTCTGTAACTTTTTAACTTACGGTATTTTAAAATTTGCTTTTAATGCCATTCTAAGTAAAAATGCCATTCTGAGTTAAGATTTTGCATTAGCATGAATTTTACCATTAATCTTCATATTGTATGATGGTAGGTTTTTTTTTTTTTTTTTTTTTTTTTTTTAATTTTTTTTTCCACGTTTTTATTTATTTTTGGGACAGAGAGAGACAGAGCATGAACGGGGGAGGGGCAGAGAGAGACGGAGACACAGAATCGGAAACAGGCTCCAGGCTCCGAGCCATCAGCCCAGAGCCTGACGCGGGGCTCGAACTCACGGACCGCGAGATCGTGACCTGGCTGAAGTCGGACACTTAACCGACTGCGCCACCCAGGCGCCCCTGATGGTAGTTTTCAATGCAAGCATAAAAGCATCTAACTCCTATTAAAATTATGCAGTTGGTATTTCTTAGCTTGTACTTTCACGTGTGTTCAGTTCTTGCCAGTACAGTGAAAATGCAGGACAAATTAACTTTTATTTCATTTCTTGATACCACACATTCTACCAACATTCTCTGCATTTGACTTACTGATTTTAGGACAAAGGAAAACAACCATCCATTATCCTATCTTTCCCTTTTTTTTTCTGTGTCATCTTTACTGTAAATGGTTGACTAATACAAGGAAGTAACATAAGCAAGAATAGCTTTGCTTAGTTCAAGTTTCTTTAAATACCTTGTCTTCTTTGTTCAAACCAAGTTCTGGTTCACATTGAAAGCAGGGCCTCTTCGGGTTGTCAGTACCCCTGCCTACTCTGTTGTAGATGCAACATGCTTACCCTGCACTCATGTTGAGTCTTGCTGAGTTCTACACATGGTTCCAATGGAATTCTTTGCCCACGGGAATCGCAAATGCTACATATGAATAGAGAGGCAAGGGACAGTAGACATACTTTTGCACATATCCCCTCTTCACATACATGCTGCCCAGTCCCAGTGGACTTTACTTACAAAATTTAAGTTCAAAGAAAATTACTAAGAATGTCAAGATGGGAACAGCAGAGTCATTAAACTAAGCATGGGTTCTCTCTGAGCTTAGTGTCCAGTACTACTGAATATGTCACTACTGAATACCGTGAAGCTGATTCTTCCTGGAGCTGACCTGAGGTCCTGTGCCTCCCTTTTCTCAGAAACTCCTGGCACTGACAACTCTGTTGATAGGTTCTCATTTCTTTTCTAAACTATTTAGTCTTGTTATCAGTCTCTGGCTCTATCTTGGTTTTCTTTGGTCCATTGAATAATGAATAGAATGATTTTTCCCCCTTCTCCCCTTCTCTCCACATTTGCCCCCAAAAGAAAAATACCTTTCAGCAATAGGAAATAAGGCAGAGGCTGGGAGCCATGTTGTCCTCTGTGGGGAGGGACTTGAGTCAGAAGAAATCTATGAAGAAGGGTAGGTGGTTGCTGGGGCACCTGGGTGGCTCAATGGTGACTCTCAATTTCAGCTCAGGTCATGATCTCACAGTTTGTGAGATTGACCCCGTGTTGGGCTCCACGTTGATAGCACAGAGCCTGCTTGGGATATTCTCTTTCTCTCTCTCTCTCCCTCTCTCTCTCTCTCTCTCTGCCCCTCCTCTGCTCACACACACGCTCTCTCTCAAAATAAATAAATGAATGTTAAAGAAAAGATGGTTGCTATTGCAGACATGACAAGTATGATGAAGTCTTGGGGCATTTAGGAGGCAAAAAAATTGGCTAAGAAAGGATTGGGATATAACTTAGGTTTATCATCCCACAGAATACTGGAAAAGGGCTGGATTTAAATTAAATGATTTTAAAGTTTTTTTTCAAGGGGTGGCTGGGTGGCTCAGTCAATTGAGCCTCAGACTCGATTTCAGCTCAGGTCACGATCTCATGGTTCTTGGGACGGAGCCCCGCATTGGGCTCTGTGCTGACAGTGTGGAGCCTGCATTTGGGAT